CTTCGAAATGTTTGTTATTTTACGAAACAGTCCTTACGCGCACAAAATAAACCGTACTTTCTAAGCGTCCGATATTAAATCGTACATATGCATATGCACTGCACATCTGTTTGACATAAGAAAATATGTCAATTACATGTCAAGTTCGGTATTTCAAGCTCAAAGCCGAAAGCAAAATGCCCAGAGAAATTCTCGAACGATCTGCATTCTCCCGTATTGGGAGGAAGTAAGCGCTGTGCCCGTACTTGTGGATACGGGCTTCGAAGTAATTTTAGGGCGTAGATCTTAGGAGCCCGTTTCCGTCTTGAGCGGCGTCGGCGTAACCGCAAGCCCCCCCCCCCCCCCCGCCCTCTTCCCCAAAGACCTCGGGAGGACCTCGGGTTTCTAGGGAGGACCTCGGGGAGGGGAAGGTCACGTGACCCCCCCCCCCCCCTTTCAGTACCCTTCCCTCCTCCTCTTCAAGAGCTGCGCTCTAAGTCGGCATTACAGGGAGTTGTAAACGGCTTCCACTTTTTTAAGTACATTACTCCAAATTTTATTAATTTTTTGGGCTGGATATTGAGGCAACTTCTAACGATAAATAGGAAACCTTACATACGCCAAAATTCTGCTCAGCAGAGCGCCTGTGCGAAGTCCCGCTGAAAACGCTCATAGCATGAGATTCGAGTCTTAATAGCGGCCATACAAACAATATATTACAATTTCTGTTGGTATTTTCTGATAGTATTATCTAACTGTGAATAAAAAATAAAAGAAATAAAAGTAGGGTTTTCTAGACATTCGACTCCAAACTTGCTAGTCTTTCAACATTTTTGCTTTTCAGGCACCATATAGAGCGTTATATACTTATCGCAAAATATTGAAATTATACTAAAAAAAAAAGAACTTATTTGGAGCTTTACTATGCTATAATGATTAGAAGAATATGTTGATTAGGCTACACAGCACAGCTTGCTGAACTTCGTCAAATATCGCCGCAGAGAGGCGGTTTGACAAACAAAAAAAGTCATTAAGAATGTTATGACCTAGATGCTTAATTATCATGAAAAAGCTTATGTATAGAGTGTTCCTGAAAAAAGTTATATTGATGTAGCGTAAAAAGTAGGGAAAAGGGAGGCCGTAAAATATGGCCCCTCCGATAAGCTGGAAAAAGGTCAGTTTCCACCTTGGCCGCTTCAACGGTTATATAACTTGAGAACTAAAATCCGACGAAATTGCCGTTTGCGTCTTCTTTTATTACAGGAATTTACCTAAAACATTTTTTTTTGTTGAAAATAAAAATTCGACCTTAAATCCGTGCCTGAGTTGAGATGAAATCACCCACAGGTACTTGGTTTACGTTGACCGTGACGGTTGCCCTGAACGCTGGCAGGCCACCCGAAATATGGTAATGTCCATACAGCGTGGCGCGTCCTGATTTGTCGTCTCTTGACTTTCCTGGGTAGTTTTCGCGGCACTTGGCTCGGCTCCTTGCTGCTTCTTTCTACGACTGGCTCGGGCATCGTGTCCGTTCTGTTCACAGAGATGGCGCTCCGCATTGCGGAAACCACAGTTCGTATCGTCATTGTCGCCGTTGCAGCAAAAGCATCACCGTGTTTCCGACTAGAGGAGGCTTTGGTGTTTCGTCCTGCCTGCTGACACCCTTGGGCATTTGCTGAATGCGATGCGGGTACGACGTCGACGGGGAAGGCCACGCCCCCTTGATATGTTGTGTTTGCAGGGTGGCATACTCCGAAGCGACAGCACTCTCAAAGGTCTTTTTGAGGTCCAACGCTGGTTTGACAAGGAGATGGCGTTGCACACCTTCGTCCCGGACGCCGTACACCAGACGATTCAGTAACTTGTCTGACAAGATCTCACTAAAGTCGCAGTGTTAAGAGAGGCGGTTCAGGGCGGCGACAAAGTCCATGCTGTCATTTCCCGGCTGCTGGCTGCACATATGAAACGCAAAGCGCTGAACAATCACGTGCGGGCACGGTGTGAGGTTGGCGAAGAGATCCGACACAATGTCCACATAAGGACATTGTGTCAGAGCTCTACCGGCGTGATCGGTGCAACACGGTGAGTGTCTGATGGCGTAGGTTGCCGGTCCACAAACGCCGCAGAGGACTGCCCGTTTGTTGGGGCTGCTTGACGACGTTGCTCGCCGTAAAAAAAAAGTTGAGTCGCTCCTTGTACATGGGCCAGGCTCAGCCATTTACAGGTTGAACTCTTCGAAATGTCACAGCCATCCCACGACCGACAATGTCAAGCTCATCCTTTTCTGACATGTGTTCTCGTCCTCGCCAAGTACCCATAAAGCTGTGGTTGCTCTCAAAAGTGCGTTTGCGTGCCCCGGTGGTTGAAGTTCTTATTGTCGTCGCCAACCAAAGCCTGTATTCAGGTGACTGACTTGGTCGTGCAGAAAAGAGGAGTTACACGAGAGGCACATGGTTCATGGCGAGTCCGCGGAATGGCGAACAGTTTGGTAAAACCAGCTTGGCTCGTCTTGGCTTCATTTCTGCTGACTTTCTGATGTTGCAACTTGCGCACACACGACACTCATGATGCTAGACGACTCAATTTCACTTTAGATGTGAGCTCCGGGCTTTCAAGTCCCTACCAAGAATACAAGCTCATAATGTGTGAGCACCGTTCAGGGCAATATGCTCATGCCTATAGCTTCGCTTCGGTCGCGCATGAAGTAAATAAAACCATAGCTCCTGTGTCCACCCTACACTCTAAAAAATTCCTGCACGTCTACTTACCCGCAAAACACTCGAAGAGCCAATCATCGCGATCCAGGAAATCAGCTCAGCGAATGATTAGGTGGAACATTCTTTAGACCTAAAAAGGAAGTTTACGCTTTGGCATTACGCATTGCAAAGCGTCATACTTGCATTGCGTAATGACACAGCGCAGACTTCATTTTTAGGTCTATACAGCTGCTCCGCCTCATCATTTGCTGAGCTGATTTCCTGGATCGCAGAGATTGGCTCTTTGAGTGTTTTGCGGGTAAGTAGACGCGCAGGCATTTCTTAGAGTGTAGTTTTCTAAGCCAATAGTAGGCTGATATTTATCAATCGCTGCAAGAACTTGGGAGTGACGCCGAGAAGTTTGGGAGGGTCGTCACATGTACGGAAGTGACTGATCAACGTGCAAAAATGCAAAGGGTTGTCCTGGGTTGGGTAAGATTCGAACTTGTTGGATGTCGTCATAAACACGTGGTTACGCAGGATCCGTGGGGAAACGGCGGTCCCGTTGACTGTGGCCATATGTGTATGGAGAATCGCTGCTTCCTGAATGGAGAACTCTCGATAACTTCTAAACGTAGTATCTAAACTGCTAAAAGCTGACACTGTCATTTTGCATTTAGAAACAGTTATTTAGTCATTTTCACTGGTGAAGCGTGCACACCAATTCCCGTTTCTTAAAAATTGGGAAGACGATTAGTCCAGCTCTGTTTTATTCACAGCAAGGCCCGTTAAAAATAACATTACAATTTTGGAAGAATCTATATCAGTAAGTTTTGAGTGACAGTCAGTAATCAAAAGAGAACTTATGCATTTTTTTAATTTTTGTAAATTTGTCAGTTTGAAACGAAGTCTGAATTTTCTTAGCGCTAGAAAAACAATGAAGTAATATTTGTTTTACTAATTCATGCATAGCTATTTAATAATACAGTGTAGTTCGTTGCAATAAACATTTTCCCCTTTATTTTGCAACCGGGTACTTACCACCCTATGTTGTTTTTGGTAGCCGCTGGCGCGGATAGTTTATGTCACAGGTGGCAGTCTGCCAGCGACTCTCTATGACTTGCGGGAATCCTGAAACAGTTAGTTTACCCTGTGTGTGTTTAACCGTTCAGCACTATCGGCGTGGCTGACGAGCTTAGCCCAGTTGCGTTCGAGGATGGATGCGATCACTTGGCAGTGGAGCGTCCCACGACGAGCAAGTTGGCCATCGTTCTGTCCACCAGATCGGAGTATGGCTTTGTAGTGCCGATCAGCTTTCTCACAGGGGTGTTTAGGTGCACACAAGTCACCTGGCCGACTAAGCACTCTATGTAACGCCGACACAGATTCACAGAGTACTCGATCACGTCGCCGGCACCACCCAAATGGCTGCTTGAAGGTGTAGTAAGCTAGTAAGTACGGTAGCCTGTCCTTAAACCAGTGTTCGTTTGCTGAGTATGGTTGGACGTTATGTGTGCCACTAGTTGCTATAGCGAGAGTACTGAACTGTATGATATAAGTCTTTCCGTGGCGAAGCTCGTAGAATGCGTTGACAACAAATATGACGGCCTTTTTAACAGCGGGATACGATAGAACCAAGATCAAGTATATCGCCGTGATAGCAACGGTGGAAGCACAATACGGCATCCAGGATCCTTATCAGGCGTAGACGGGAATATGGCAGACGAAGAGCGAGCATGAGAAACAGCCGGAGCAAGCAAGCACTTCTGAAATCACCGAAAGAATCGATCGAAAGTAAGCTGTCAGAAGCAGTGGCTGGGCGCGGGAGGCTCGGCCTATGAAGACGTAACTTTGAATAATAGATTTCGCCAGAATCTTCTCCTAATTGCCAAAAAGCACTTAGTTTTCGTCAGATATCGAACATATTTAAAATTAGTGTGCGCAGCCTTCAATCCCAGTTTTTTGTTATATTTTGTTGTCCCAGCAGACTACACAAAATTAGTGTTTCGCAGTGTTAAAGGTGTTTATTGACCACATGATGGACGCACACGTTCTCAGTGTGCCCGAGGCGACTTTGCGACCGCAGTCGCAATAAACAGCAGCTAAATCTCATTTGAGTTGCCGTCTGACAGGTTCCATCTTAAATGTCATTTAAAAATCTGACTCTCGTTTGGCGTAAATGGACCTTTAGGTGCCATCTGACTCTTATAATCTTAATATAGCGATATCTTATTTCAGTTTTAACAAGTGTGTCAGCGTATATGTCGATTTTATTCCCGACGTTATTAAAAGACAATAACCAATGATAGGATCTCTGTAAATTACCTGTTCGTACCCAGCCGTCAGCTGTGATAGCGTTTGATGTTGCTTCCGGATTTTCGTAGTAGCCCCTCATGCAATACGGCGACTTCACTAACGCTTCTCCTTTTTCGTTTGGCCCAAGCACTTTGCCAGATTTTATGTCCACAATCTGACAATAGAAGTGTACTGTTTATTTTGTGTTTGGTGCATCATGCAACATAATATGCTAATAAGATCCAAAGTTGTGATTGCCAGCAGTGGTTTTAATTGCAAGCAGTTCTGATTATTGATAAACCCTAATTTGCTTAAAACACAGGGCACTAGACGTCATCACGACCACTTTAAACGGATTGCTTTCCTCATAATCATCTCTTTAAGTAATCCATACTTTCCTATCGTCATCGATGAGTGGAATTTTCTCCGCCGACGTGTTTGTTCAAGTAACAATTTCGCTTCAGTAAAAAGAAACCTACATTTTAAATGCGTATATGGTAGTTACAGGCACGTAGCCAGGGGGGAGGCCCATGGGGCACCGCTCCCCCTCCCCCCCCCCCCCCCAAAAAAAAATCTCCCATTTTGCATTGTTCCTACTCTCCCCCCTCCCCTTCATACAGCATTTTGTCATTGGTGCCCAACCTCCCTTCCCCGAAAAAAAATCCTGAATGCATGCCTGGATATCTGTTTTCTATTTGTAAGTCCTGTCAATTATTTCTAGGTAGTGTGACGAGTATTTGATCTCTTCATGCGTATCATGCTTCCTGTTTACCAAGTTTGAAAAACTGTTTTCACGTTTGGAGCTTTTGTAGGGGGAAAAACAAACAATAAAGGCACTGGAACAAAATAGGGGGGGGGGGTGTTATTCATAATGTGAAAATTACAATAATTATTTATGCGGGTGTTTGTCATGAACCATTTCACTCGTCATAGGTGTACACTTCTATTATTTGGTTTATCGTTCCTCTTCGAATATTTGAATAATACGCAGTATAAACTAAATATATATACCCTTCATGCAAATGAACACGGGTTTTCTCTTTCCTGACGTGAAATTTCCGGTCGCTCCATATCGGCAGGATTTTTGAAACTGCTGATGTCAGACCTCCCGGTATGATCAAGCTATATCAAAATCACGACGTTGGGGACTTAAGGATGCCCTTATGCTGTACTGTTCAACATATAAGCAAAAGATATTAACACTAGGGTAGGGCCCATTCACCTTCGAATCAGTTTAGTAAAGTTTTAATCGTTGTTAATCTTATTAACCGATTAATCGGTTGGTTTCGGAAGAAGTTAGAAAGATTAGCGGAGACAAATTTAAAGCTGCCTAATTAGCTGGTGATGATATTATTTTTAAGCCAGCATTGTTGTCTTTCTCGGCACTTAAGCATTCTATATTTGCACCATCGTGCGCAATCATTAGGGGAAATATTAATGTATTTTTTATATTTTTAAAACGCTCGGACCGTGTTTTTTAGTGGATCAAGATTTAAAGAAGGCTCCAAATAGCGTCATTGATGCATAGTATATATAATATTAAAAAAATTCGCAGTTTTGGCATTTTTTCAGTCATTATATATGCCTAGGGGTGAGCAGAACAGAACCGGTCAATAGGCTGATTGACTAAATACAGGTCAGCCGTTACTCGGCTTAATCTTTTTAATCTGCACCGTGCAGTAATTAAAACTTATTCAGCAAATATCTTGCTGGCCAGTCTTTTAGGTTACCACATGGAGAAGTAAGTGGTCACAATATATCTCATGGACGCTGCAAGGGGTGCTTGGTGATCATTGATTACCCTCTCATTTGACGGGAAATTCGCGGAGATGGATAATGCAGCAGCGCCTCCAACTGGGGTTTCTATGACATAGTTTATAATAAATTGCTTCCGAACAATATAAAGACATACTATGATACCTCAAAGTAAACTATTTCCGTTGAATCTTAGTAACAGTTGAAGGAAAACAAGCAAAAGAAACGCTCCTTATTTAGTCATAAAAATATCTTCATATATATTTTAGCTACCCATATTTAGCATCACAGCACTTAACCAAGCCAGATTTGTACTGGGACGCCTGGTGCTTCGTCCCCTTCAGTCAATTGAAACCAATACGCCGAGCATTTGAAAAAAATGGGTGAACAAAATAGTCATAAGAGATGTCACAATACTCAACATGCCCTAAAAATATATTAACCAATACTAATATCTTGAAAACGAGAAGGAGAAACGTACGCTTTGGGCGCAGTATGTTAAGAAACACCTAAAATTTTAATGAATGCCCTCCTTTTCCCCCCTTTTACCTCTTCTCCAGGTATTATTACCGTTAAGCTAAAGGTGTGTTTAAGCTAAAATACGGTGTTTTCTGTTTTAGAGCGCCGCTCTTAGGCGCCCGTTTCCGGCTTTAGTGGCGTCGGCTTCGGCGTAACCGCGCGGAGCATTATGGGTAAATTTCCCCGCTAAATTTAGGGAAACAATTTCCCCCCTAAATCTAGCAGAACAATTTCCCCGCTAAATCAAGCGGAAAAATCCCCCCCCCCCCCCCCCAATTTAGCGGGAAAATTCCCCACTACATCTAGCGGAAAAATTTCCCCGCTAAATCTTGCGGAAAAATTTCCCCGCTATTTCCCCGCTAAATCTAGCGAAAGAATTTCCCCGCTAAATCTAGCGGAAAAGTTTCCCCGCGAAATCTAGCGGAAAAGTTTCCCCGCTATATCTAGCGGAAAAGTTTCCCCGTCATATCTAGCGGAACAATTTCCCCGCTGGACTTGGCGAAAAAATGTCCCCGCTAAATCTAGCGGAAAACTTTCCCCGCTAAATCTAGCGGAAAATCTTCTCGGGGGGGGGGGGGGGCGGTCACGTGACCCCTCCTCTAGGTCACGTGACCCCCCCCCCCCCCCCGACGTCAGGTGACCTCCCCCCTCCCCGAGAACACGTGAGCGTCAGTACCCTTCCCTCCTCCTCCTCAAGATCTATGCTCTAATTCGGCGTTGCAGGGAGTTGTAAACGGCTTTCACTTTTTGATCGTGCAGACATTATTATTTTTTGACGCAGACATACTGAGTCTGACCTGAGCTGAAGTGAAGAATCGGATTGATCTTTTTCGTGCTGCTCGTGGAACACTCATTGAACCTCTCTAAGTGGATACAATTATAATTTAGGTATTCCTTAACACCTTACTGCAATCCACATGCTTTTAACTTTATTATTTCCAAGATATTAGTTACTAACGCTGTAAATACTTTCATAGGAGACCCTGTATATCACTCGAGCATTGCGCAACATAATTTTGTTTTAAAAGTTTGCTAAGTTGTAAAATGAAGCTTAACAAAGCGCTTTATTTCTCAAAGGTCCCTACTGTGAAGGTCCTTTTTTTAAGGGTAATGTCCCTTTATTCCTGTTTCTATGTACGTGGCTCGTTTTTTACCGAACTACATTGAAGCTTGTTGCCGTTCACAAAATAAATGACAATATGTATAACACTTCTTAGACAAATGTTAACCAAAAGTAAATTCTATATCAAAGTTATGATATTTGAAGATTGTAAAAGCGTTCTGGTTGCATATTTTTGGTTCTTCATTTAGGCATTCAATGCATGTTCCTTCCCACATCAATACACTTGAATGTTTTGAGGTTAAATTCCACCAGATTTTCATTGTTTATTTCAACCCTTAGGTAAGCGTTTTGCAAAAAGTTTTAAAAAGGGGTTTTAAGAAAGGTTCATTTTGAAAGAATGTCTAGGCTCTAAATATATAAATGACTAATCTTTTTTTTTTTCTGAAAGGTGCAATAGCTGTATACCATCTTTAAATACTGCTTAATTACAAATGTATACATTTTGCCGTATATTGCATAAAAAAAAACTCACATTGCATAAGAACGATGTATATGCACAGGAAACACTGAGAACAGATTTCGCCAAGTTTTAATAAAGGTGTAAATATAAGCATATTCTAAACGAAATCACAAAATACAATAATTAATATTCGATACCTCAATCTTACCTTAATTTGCACCTTCGGTGCTGGAAATCCAATTCCGTACCATTTCACCGCATCCATTGGGGGCCTACAAATTTCACCAGTTTCCGTAGCTCCGTAAATGTCTTTGACAATAGCCAGATCAAAAACAGGTTCAAGTGGCTTCAGAGTCTCAAATTCGGTCTTTGCACCTGATATAAGAACCTTTTTAACACAATCCAATCCAATATGTTCATATGCAATCTTCTTTGCAAGTGCCAGCATAATTGTCCCATTCCCTGCGACCGTTGTCACCTGCGCCAATATGAAAGAAGGATTGATGAATCAAACTTTTGAATCTAGGCAGGAATTTTATAAGAACAAAATGTTATCCCAAGTATATCGATCCAAAGCGTTTTTGATATTGTTCCTTATATATAGATGTCTTTCCCAAAACATTTCGCTCTCAGGAACGCGTTGTTTTAGGGTAGGCAACCTAACCTTCATCAACGCAGAAGGGACACCATTTAGTAAGTTATAGACTGTCATCAAAGGTTCAAAACTTTTTTTATAAAAAAAAAGCAAATGTTTTACGTACAATAATTTTAGTGTGTATTATTTAGAGCTTATTGTTTTTGGTTGGAGTTAACAAATCATAAAAACAATGCCGAATTAGACTTTTAGACTTTGGTTTCACCTTGAAATGTAAGTAGCTTAGAGCCAGTTGTGAACTACTACACTTCGCGTTACCATATACACACATACATAAGATAGATATTCATCTACAAAGCACATTTCAGCCTATACATTAACGGATACAGCGCATGGTAAAATGTACATACATTTGTACGTACAGTGTGGAGTAATGCCCTGCGTGTGACTCAGCGCTCATTTTGCGCCTTCTTGGCTTTGCATTGCAGCTGTGAATCTGCCTTAAGGCAGGCCTAGTCGAAGTGTATGCCTTCTGAGCCACGTCGACAGGTTCGTGCAAAGTACGGGTTTAATGACCAGCCTAGCGTCTACCACGCGTACGTGATCACGCTTTCTGCGCATAAGCATGCGCAAATGGCAGGGTCCAGGAATCAAAGGCAGTCGTGTGACTAGCTAGGAGAGCACGATACTTTTAACGCTCTGTCCGATTAGCAGCGAACGGAATATAAAAGACGTGAAAACATGCAATTCGTCTGCCTACTTAAATTATATGTTGTGAACCTCTGTTGAATCTTCCTGTTGTGCCGAGGGAGGGTTCGACCATCTGCACATTCTTTGATGTGAGCGTTTGGGCTTCGTTTTATAACTGGAATATGTGTATTCTCTGTGTCTTGGGTGCTAAGTTCGTTGTATATTAAAGATGACGTCTGTGTTAAAATGATCATGTTATTATGTGGCCTTTTTATTCGGGTTTAGGTAGGAAGAAGGTTTTTAGGTTGCCCATGCACCCTGAAGAGCCAGATTTAAGGCATCGAATAATAAATAAGAAACAAATGTTCTCATTAATGCGCGCGTGCGTCAGTGCTTCCACGCGTAGCACACGACAGGTCATGGCCGGTTTGCTTACCATGGCAACATAAGCTACAGAGTGCACGCAATCACTCACTCTAAATTAAGCCCATGTATACTTATACCTCATCAAACATCGAAGAGGTAATCTACCTCCCAAAGCTTCAATCCACTACCCTTTTGCCGGATAATGCATATGCCGCAAGTCAGCTACCACAGTCACGAAAGTTTATTACTCTCCGTAGTGCAACGTAAAGTTGCTGACTAGGAGCATAGATATTGGAGAGAAGTATAATTGTTTTTCACATTCCGAAATCTGTCGCTCCTTAGAACCTGCATTCTATGCATACCGGACGTTCTACTTAAATGTTGCTGAAAATTGCGTGTGTAGATATTAACCGGGAAATAATATTAAAAATAAAGATTCCCAGTTGAAAGAACGAAATACGAGAACACAATAAAAAAGTAAAAAAAGATATTGAAACACCAATAAGAATTTATATTATGCCACTACATTGCAAGTCAGCTTGTTTATAGTTGGATAATCGCAGTTTTCATAAGGTACTTACTACTTCATATGCATGGTTATACTATTTGCGCAGGACTCACTTGTGGCCATCCATGTGAGGTCGTACAAGCAACCACGAAAAAAAGAGGCAATAATATATGTTCTTGCATAGTATATTTATATATGATTTTAGTGGGACAGGATGTACTAACGCTCTCCCGTTTTAAGCCGAGTTTGGCGGTGCGACCCTGTTGGGCTTGCGGGAGGGGCCGCGTCATGCGGGGTGTAATTAGGTTTGTAAAGAAAGGACCCTGGCTCTGCTCAATTGCATCAAAACGCGCGCCTAAAGCCAAAATTCCTCTCCGAACAGCATGAATAAATATAGAAGTGCTACATGTCAAACCAACCAAGGGCATCTGGCATGCCTGAGCGGAGGACGGATAATTAATTTAGACCACCTGGGGATCATTTTAGGTACAACTGAAATCTCGGCCACACGGCACTTTCTCCGCAATAAGCCTCCCTCGGACTGCGGGCATCTTTCCTGGGATTCCAAACCGTCACCTGCGGATCCGTACGCCTGTGCTTGCCTCGCAGCCACGGAGGCGGCACGAGCAGCACGGAAATTACACGTCCGAGAGAACGCATGTGCGTTGTGCTGTCCACTCTGTCGCATTTGTTGGCGCTGCGCCGAGGGAAGGGTCTGCCGCCGACACATCCATATACCGTGCTCGCTAAGAGAGCTGTCTCAGTTGTCTCGAGGGGTATCCATGACGATGCATGGCGGCAGCCACCATTCCCAATTTCAAGTGGAAAACGCCTAGCCTCCGCTTGACCAGCCGCGTCATCTACGGAAACGCAGTCGGCGCCAAGCCAATTGTATTTTTTTTTGCGTAGCAAGGGTGTAGCTATTCATTAGCGATGTTTTGTTTCTTTTAAAGAGGGGAGGATTAAAGTGGTTGGGACAACGTTGACCAATACTGGCGCGGCGTGGCACCTCTCTAACACTGATGTGCGCTTGCGTGGCTGCGGAAACGTCGTCTGCTTGCCGTAGACCTCGTTAAACGAGCGCTGGGGCTTTTAAATAATGCGATTTCGCATTGTATTGGTAGCACGCATTACACTAAAACACTGAGTGAACCCGAAGCTCTGACTTTGCAATTAATACATTTAATAATAAGCCATTTCCTTGAGCATTCTGAAGGGCAAGCCCCGAATAATGCATAAATGTTTAAAACTTGACCTAGTTAGGCAGAGCTTGCCATGGCAGGCTAATCACACCATTATGCTCGCTATTGTTTTTAGCGCTTTTAGTTTTTGCTTAGAAAAAGAATCGATCAAAGCAGCACCATGTTCCTCTGCCCAGAAATCTAAACCTTTGACTAAACGCTACTACGGTAGAAACGGCTCTGCGATCGAGTGCTCATGTTCTATCATGCCAAAGTGTTGGTTGACATATGAACATTGGATGTTATTTTGATGCAATACCTTGTTTTTTATTATGGCTTCCAGAATTTGTATTGTGTTGGCTGATGCAGGTAACAAAACAATCTTTGCTCCAGATGAGCAGGCTCGCAGTAGTGTCCGAAATCCAGAAGCCCACGTAATATCTCTCTTGAGAATAACCACGTCGTGATTATTGTACAGATCTTGAAACCTTTGAATTAAAAAAAAAAAGAGAGAGAAGTTCGAATAAATGCTTTGTTAAGACGACTATTAGAGTTCTTTTTTTAAATTGCTATATGGTATTGTTTTAATATTATTAAAATAAACACACAAAGCAGTGTACGCGCTCTGTACAGTGCTCACCAAATGTTTACAAAACACGCGAACATCTCGTCTCATGGTGGCCCTCTTCTTGCTGCAATCGAAGACTTCTCCGTGATGCAGTGCACAATGAAACAGGGACAGCAGGGGTCACTGTCCGCTTGTCCATGGTAGTGGACAAGTTGTTCTGCTGTCCAAACAGGGACAGCAAAACAACTTTAGATTGTGAAAGGGAGTGCGAATTGTCAATAGCTTCTAATGCGGAAGAGCATGTGAGCACTATTTCAACGTGATGGGATCTCCCATCACCGAAGCGCTTGGTTTGTGCCGACAAAAGTTTAAGGTGGTAGCTTCACAGCGCCAACCAAGCTTAGGAGCCACGTAAGCACGAAATATGTAAGTAGGCGAGTCCATAACCGCTAAACGACCATAAAAAACGGAAACCGGTGCCAGGGATGGAACCCCGGTTACTTGTGTGAAAGCCGAATACAAAAAACCCAGCGCCCAGGAACGTGTGGAACAGAAGCAGGCAGTGTGAGAAAGCGCGGGTAGCCAAGAGGTTTAGAAAGGAGAGGAGCCGCAAACAGAAAGAGGGGCGTAGAAAAAGCTTGCGGAACGTTGAGGAGTGGAGAGGGCAGGAAAGCGGGCGTCTCCTCTTTTGGTGACTGAGAAAAATCAGCGCAAAGGTTTTGGATTCGGGGTGGTGCTGAAGGAGAGCACAAGCAGCGTCACAAATAGAAAATGGTGTGGCGTAGCATGTTTCCATAGAAAACACTGGCCAAGCCACCACCTGAACTAAAAGCATTACCCACACCAGGCACTGAAAGACTAAGTGCCATCCTGGCCCTGGCTCCACCCAAACTCAGGGCACCACCCACCCTGTAAAGCTACCGCATTTAAACGCGCTTCTCAAAATAACTATACGTGCAACCAATTTTTTTTTTCTTTTTGAGATTGACATTTTTCGGCAAATATTTCGCTTTCTTTGCTCAATTTTGTACGACAAACTAAGTAACAATCCCGCTTTTACACGATGAGGAAAATCGGACTGCAGGGGAGGCGTCTCGCCCTATGCTGAAATCGCGGCTGAACCGGGATCAACAAAACAACAACACGATCTTCCTGCTAGGCGATCTGTTAATTTCGCCACTCCCTCTCACTCCGACGCATGGGGGACTGCCAAAATGGCGCTTTTCGTGATCCAGCCACAATTTCGGCCTTGTGCGACCGTCTTCTTCTGCCCGATTGTTTTCGTTGAGAGTTCTGGCTGGGGGCAGTTCTTGGGCAACGGCAACCCATGTAGCACACCTCCTCGGCCCAGTCTCGGGCCAGACCGCCGCGAGCTAGAGACAACATGGCTCAAGCTTGGCGCAATCTTGCGCCAAACTGGTCCAAGTATGAGCCGGGAACGTGTGCTGCAAGGTTTGGCTAGAATTCTGTATTAAAGACCAAATGTTTATTTGTCGCTTTTAAAAAGTAACTGCAAAAAAAAAAACGTGTTTTGTAACAGCCTAACTGTTACAAGCATGTCAGAAAAAAATCTTCCGCGAAAAAAATACATTTTTGTTTAGCCAGTGATTTAGCAATGTTTACGCCACATGACGTAATTTAGTCGGAGTCTCAACCTTTCCACATTTGAAACTCCCACTCTTTCGACGCGCGCGAAGTGGCTGTAATACGTCACTGCATGACGTATAGCAGCCACTCCGTGACGTATAATACCAACATTGTGGCGCGCGATTTCAAACCGTCGAAATAGCCGCAAACTAAAATCAGTCCCGCTCAATACATATTGCTGTTAGAAAATTTTTTCTTTGTTGAAAACATTGTTCTGTGACACGCTTGTCCCAATTAGGATATTTAAAATACATTTTTTTTTATTTGAAGTTACCCTTTAAGACGAAGGTTGCCACATGCTAAATACAATAAATCATTTCAATTGGTTAGCTTAACATTTCCAATTGAATGTGTGAGAGCCATGGGTAAAATAATTGCCAGCTACTAGATGACAAAAATGACCAGATATAGAGTAATAATCAACCAACTGAGCCCTGTGGAGATAAATTTCCTGAAGTTATACACGTCTTAAAATCTTTCGAAGAAAGAAGCAGTGAAAAGCAAAGCAAATGAATGCTGTGTCACATCGGTAACATTCTTCTCAACTTGCTTTACAAAATCAAACCATTAGTTGAAGAGACACAGCTCTGCTCGGCGCAGAGCATATCTTGACAGCAACAACAAGTGATTGATAAGCAGAATTGTACCAGGTTCAGTGATACTATCCAAGCGAAGAAACACAAGTTTAAAATATATACTGCCGTTTTAGGTACACCGGGCAATCACGGTAATGTTTTCTAATCTGATAGTTTTATTGTGAGGTGGCTTCTTTTAACAAAACGCATGCACTCGGTATGTCAAATTTCCTGCATTTGAAACGAGGCCAATACTTGTGGAAAACCTTTATGCACATGTTGATTGTGGCTGTATTAGAAAATTACGCTCAGTATTGACTTACAAAAAAGAAATATCCTTGGTATTTGAGCGATATTTAAAAAATACGTTTATTTAAACGATAAAATGTCTGTGTATTATGATTCGAAAATGGGAGGCCCAGCGACCCTTCCACGTATGGCGAATTGATCTACCGGTGGTATCCTGAAGAAGATTTGTTTGAGCCCTGTGTGTCGCAGAAACGTTCACAGTCGTCGAGGTTAGAGGTATACAAAATGTTCACACTGTGACAAAATGTACCTCCAGCTAGGTGTCCGGGCCGCCCGTCACCTTTAGGGCCTGAAGCTAGAACCCATGCTGCTGCGGCCCCCAGTGCCATTCCTGTTGCTCCGACCTCCTCAGCAGTTCCTGTTGCTGCAGCCTTTCATAACGCTTCATAACCCCCCCCCCCCCCCCCCCCCCGCCGCTACTGCTGAGGGCCAAGGACGCGCCATTCCTGACGCTGCTGAGGCTGCAGAGCCCAGGCGGTTCTGCACCACACGCCACTTCAAGCAACCTCGCAGCTCGTGCTCGGATACGGCAGCGAGCTGCCCTCTCTCTTTAGCAAGACAATGCAAACGGCCTCAGCCGGGTCCCTGGATTCTGTGTGGCCAAAGCTGTTGTCTGCACACGTGCTCGCAGTGACTCATGCCTCAGCAGAGCATGGCAATGCCTCGTACTCTGAAGCGGATGCGGGACCAAGCACAGCAGTGATTTTGGGCCCATCAACGAAAACAGGTGGCGTGGTGGAATCATCCAGTCCAGCACGCAATCCCCAGCCATCGCCATCGGACAATTCATAACGCCCAGGGCGGCAAAGACGACTCCCAGAAAAATTCCGAGATTAAGTAGTGTAATTATATATATATAAAAAAATCTGTGAATGAGTTTTGGAACTAAGTATTTTTTAAGCATTTAGAAAATGTTTGACGAACTTTACTGGGACCTGGATCTGACAACGCTTTTTTTTTTGTTCTCGTATTACCTGAAGTGTCACATGTTTGTTTCAGGGTCATTCGGTAATATTGTGATATGTGTCCTTCTGTTTTCAATCTTCTTTTCGTTTCATGAACTTGAACAGAGACGGTGTATTTCTTTTCTCAGCTAGTATTTTCTTTTAATTTTATATAAGGAAAGCAGAAAGTGGGCGAATTTTATTTTTGGCTTTGAACGAGGCTCTTCAAACTCATGGGAGGGAGAGTGTAGTGTTCTGTTTATGCTTTCGCGGTGCGCTCGTTGGCGTGCCACGTTCGCGTGCAGCGGGCTCGCGCACAGAGCGTCAGCACTGCACTATTTGTTGAAAATACAACAGTTTATTTCTATCTACGACCTGGTTTGGTGTGTTGTACTTTCCTCGATGTGCCCACTTGGTGGTCCCGGGTCACCGCTTTCTCGTTGTCCAGCGCGCCATGCCGAGGAAGCCTTCCTATTTCCTCCCAGGCATTCCGATGGTCTGGACAATTACTTTACCCCTCAATGTTCCTACTCAGAGTTTCGTATTGGCCATCTTTGACCCCCACAGTTGGTCCTGGTATGGTACTGTCATTAAATGTCGGAAAGTAGGTAGACCTACATTTTTGAGCGCGAGCCTTGCTTGCGAAAGCCATTCTTTTAAGTCCATTTTAATTATACGTTATGACCCTCAGTCTCCTTGCTCAAAGACGCTATACAAGAACAATCAAAAACAGGAGTGGTGAGATGACTTCATATTTCTTTTTGGTTTTCCATTGGACGCTTTTGTCGCAGATTGAAAGATGCCAAGAGAGCTTTGTATTGGACCGTTACTCGTGCATTAGGGAACGCTAGAGCACCGCTTCTATGGGATCGTATTGCTGACGTTCCAGACGGAGTAGATGGTGTTGTAATGGCAGACAATGCCATACGCTACGGCGTGTTAGGTGGCTCGACTAGCAGGCGGTGTCAGACGGAAGATCACGAACCGGACCTCATGAAAGAAAGACGTTAGTTTTGCGCTCGTGTTCGAGAAAGCAGCCATGCCAAAGCGTAGTAAATGGCGAAACCACCATGACTTGCAACAAAATGCGTCTTCCAACGTAAATATTGCAATCCTTTTTATAAGTTTTACTTTGTGACGAACATATACCACTTAGGTGCCTAAAATTGATTTAAGTGTGAATTTAATATAGATGAAAGGAGGACTGTGGCGATGTGGTTTTTGAGTAGCTACCGCGAGGTATATAGAAGTAGGTTAATTTAAAACAAACGAGGAGGGAGATTTGCTAAAGAAAGACTCGAAGAGGGCTCGAGGACGGGGCTTGGACACTGGGAGGCCAAGCCGCAAACAGCCAGGAGGACCTTAGTCGACATGACCAGGCGTCAGAGGCCCGACTCTCCCTGCTAGATTTTGTAGTCAAGGCGCCGACATGCGTGAGGCCGATTGGACCGCTTAAGGCGCGAACGACAAATCCAGCAACCGGTCACTAGACGTAGATTCGATGGAACGACACATGGGGATTGGCTTGCTGAGGCGCGGTTCCGGTTAGCTGTAAAGGACCGTGGGCACAACGTCCAAGCAGGTCCGGATCGCCGTCCCTACGACGTGGACACCACCAAAAGCATAAACATGACGGCTGCGCAATGAAGCACATTAGAAATATCTGTAATATATATTTCCCCGGAGAGGAATGTTCTTGTATCGCACCGTTTTCGTAATTCCGTATTGGATCTTTTAACACAGTCGCCTTCACGAGGGCCATTGTGCAAATTGTAACTCGAATTGACGGCACTGATGTCACTATTTTAATGTTGAAGGCTAGAAGTCTTGTGCTGCATACGGTGTTTATGAGCTGAGAACAAAATCAAGTGAAATGGATCATTCAAAGCTAAATACCAAGATTAACGTTGCATACTTAAGTGTTTTTTTTGGAGCCCAGCAAACACGCGGTAGGGGTGGTCAAGATTCTTTGGGGAATACAAGATAACCATTCCCACATCAAAATGTTACTTCCATATTTTTACCATCCCTACTGGAGTAAATGCAGGAATTATCTACCATCAACAGAAAGTGGACAGTGGTAGTCTATAGGCAATCGTTCTCAGAAAAGTGGTCCAGTACTTGCGCAGCAATGAAGTAGTAAAAAAACAAAGAAGGTCATCTCAAGCTGAACGGAAAATGGAAGCAAAGAAGGAGGCATCTGTAGTACTCCTTACAAGGGATTTTCCACTCGATAAATTCATACACAAGACTTCGTGAAACATTTCTAGGCAGTGTGTCAAGCTTCCAAAATCTGAATCCGTCAGGTTTTTGAGGTGTGATATGGTGTGCTGTAGCACTCCGCTGTACAAAAGAAAAAAAAATCTTGCCAATTCTACAACTGGTGGGTTCTCGTCTCCAGTTGCGCAATTCTACGGGTCACAGTTTTACTTTTTCCTTGCTATAAGGGTCCTCAAATTCCTAAAAACAGATCTATGATCAAAATAGATAGTCTCTGGCCAGAGCCTGGGTATTATGCCGTAAATAGCCAAGCAAATGCCGGAATTAGTTGCCACTTTCTTGTTCTTCGTTGTCACCTGGCTTCTTTTTGCCTCATCTCCCGAGGAAATGGTAGAACTAGGCTTCACTTCCGGTTCCCGAGTTTTTACTTTGCAACTTCTGGGCATGAAGTGATTAACAAATTTCAAAATTAGACTTAGCTGCTTGTTGTTTGGTTGAAAGGTGGCATAATTAGCCTATCTCTTGCACTTTGGCAATTATGTGGCGAACCAGACAAAAGCCATTGTGAAGCCAAACAAAATGTCTGGCCGCTTTGGAGGCAATCTTGTTGTACTTGACGCACGGCCTACAAATATTTCTCTTAGGCTTGTGTTCGTACAGGTCGAGTGTCACGCCCCTTGCAAGGAGTGCTACGGGACTCTATAGAATTGCCAAACTTGGGGAAAATTAGGCGCAGCTCTGGCCTGCTGCGTGGGATATGAATTCGCTGTGTATTCCATGAGATAGACATAGTAGTTTCTTGCTACCCAATTGAAAAAAATATTCAGAAATACAACTTTGTTTTCTTACCGGCATGTTAGCTTTAAATTTAGTGCAACACAAGTAATTTTTGCAAAAAGAAAACTGTTGTACAGTGTGATTGAAGTGCAGAAGGCATACGTATAGATTTTTAAGATCCTATATATTACTTAGGTCTCGCATAATGTAGCCGAATGTTATAAACTTCTCAAAGGAATCACGTCCATTATTTTAACGTCATTTTGCTAGCAATTAGATGCTTCCGAGCGGTTTTCAAGATTCATCGCCCATATGGTGGAATATGGGCTGGCATTGAAAGCTCGCTTATTGAGAAGCTTTATGTAAGGGTGAAATGTTTTATGGAACTATTTTAGAATATTGTAATTTGTTCACAATAAATTAAAACTGTATTGACTTTGACAATTTTAGATATGCTGTGATGCCTAATTCATAAAAACACGCAATTCTACCTCTGAACATATAAGCATACGGTCGAAAACCCACCTGGATAGAGGTAAACTCGAAACAATGCTAAAGTGCGTAAATTCAACCGCCTTCGGGTGACCGGTTGTTCCGGACGTGTAAATCAACGCAGCCAATTCGTTCTTCGCGTCCTCCACCGGAGATTCCTGGTATGAGTTTTCATTAATACTCTGAAATTCAGTCACTGAAACAAATCCAGGGGCATTCCCTACAGTAAAAAATCCCTGAAATCAGAAAACATGTAAATAATACTTAAAAGGTTAAACATGAACATTACATGGATGTTGATCTGGGGATTGAGCCCAGGATCCCTACCCCTGCTCGTTTTGATCTGGATGAGAAACGTACCGGCGTGCTGTCGTGTATCACTACTGCGCGGTGTACGTTAAAGAGCCCAGGCTAGCAGTTCTACTGCACTGGGTAAATTTCTCATCTACAGCTGGTAGACTCGCCACCCGTTGAGGCAGCCCAATTTCTAGGCTGTACAAACATACACACAACCCAATTTCTCCGAATATTGAACTAACGTAAATCAATAAATTAGCCACCTAGACTGAAACATATTGAAGCTTAAAAACAAAGTAAAGTGTAAAGTGAATTGCTCGTCACTGAACGCTCTTAAAACAAAAATCTTGTCCATGTGCGGATGTCGTAATGTTTTACATAACAGATATGTATTATAAGGAAGTTGAATCTAACGCATCTCTGTTATAAGGGACAATGACGTGACCATACATAATCAATTGACGATTACTTCGAATGTGTCCTCTATTGTTGGCAGTAGGACAAACATGTTGGGACTGTTATCTCGCATCACGAAGAATTTTAAAACCACTGCCTGTATTATTCGTTTATTTTCCTCTCTAGTTAGGTCAAGGCGTGAATTCGGTTCTCCTGCTTGAAATGTTTTCTCAGAAACGCAGTCAACAATCGTTGAAAGTATGTAAAAACGCATGGTACTCATGTTTACGACCGCTCTCTTCAGCGAAGCTCTTTATTTTGATTACAACTTTCTTCTAAATAAGCCTTTGCTGAGGATATTGTCTAACAGAAGGACAGAACGCGACTTGATTTTTTCACAAGAAAGTAAATTGAATTAGAAATAATGATTCGAATGGAGGCATTGTTAATGTCCATGTCCCCTCCCGTGTGAATAGGGATCCCTCTAATTTTTATGCCAATACCGTCTGAAGATCTTTAACCTTGTCATACATGCAATCATTCTTCAATCGCTTTAACCACACAGGTATTGAAGTATTCAGTTACTTTTCTGTTTACAACAAGAACTGCAAGAGATCGCTACGTATCTGTGATATGTGCTATATTTGAGTGTGTGATAATTTGGCGTTTACTTGTTCTTTTTGCACAAAAGTGAATTTCTTCGGGTTGCTTTTAGGCGCAAGAAAATAAACATCATTTTTTTTGTTTTGCTTCTTTTTCTGTTTATTATTATAATTATTATAATAACTATTATACCATCCTGCAGTTCCGAAAGTTTCTTGTGATGCCTGTTAGCAAATAAATTACTAGAACTACGGCCGATAAAAGTAAAATACTTCTAGGTTCCTGCAATATACAAAATATAGAAACATTAGTAGTGAACATTGTTCGTTGGGCACATATACCACCATTACCCTATTGAAAATTCCATCAAGATACGTAATTTAGGACACTGACTGCCAGTCAGCAGCCTTGGTGGAACGTGATGGACCATCAGACGTCATCTGATGGTCCATCAGATGACGTCTGACTGCCACTGCCAAGGGAATTTCATCGACAAGGGCAGCATTTATATAAGAGTAAAGCTATACGCACTCATAAATATCGCCAAATGCCCCGATAAAACAAAATGTTCGAAAAAAAAAAAAAAAGCAGGACCACCACGGGTCGAACCCGCGACCACTTGCGTACAGATCGGACACGTTAACCCCTGTGCTATGCCACTTTTTGTTTTCCTTTATTGCCTGTTTTTGTTTTACAGGTTTACTTCTTCAATAAAAGGTTAAAACATGAGCCAATTTGGCTGATGAGGAAAGTAACACAGAGTACAAATCGTCAGCGATCTTTGAGGGTCGCAAGCTTTTCAACCAGTGGCAGCCAGTCAGGAAGTGGCTGCTCCACCTTATAAATTTCTTTCAGGTAACACATGCTTTCAACGAAATACCTATGAACAGGACGCACATTAACATCCGCGTGCCGTACCGCCATACAACATTGCCACAGACTATACAGTGCAATGAGCATAAACATGTCATAGGGAACAGTGTCTCCACCTTCCACAAACAAGTACCGTATGCCATACGGCGTTAACGGGAGATCTTTTTTTAAAGTTCTTTGAAGGATGTCCCAAAAAAACACCGCATCCCAGCAATCTAGGAATACATGTTTTAAGGTCTCGGGTTTTTTACACAACAAGCAGTTTTCAGACCATGTTACTGGTATGCCTTTGGACACTAACCAGGTCTTGACAGGGAGCGTTTCACTGTGCAGTTTAAAGAAAAACGTTTTTGCACATGCGGGGACAATCATTCTCTTGACTCTTTTTAAAACGTCTTGTCCTGGTGCGGCACTGTACAAGGATCGGTACAAGGCGACGGGAAACAGCGAGTCGGTCAGATCTCGCGACAACCGTTTACGGGGCACTCCTGACAAATATTCTAGCGAAAACCGCGCTCTTAAAAACCTATGTGCGTCGATGACTTCCTTTAAATACCCTCGAATCAGGCCGCTGTAGCCACTTCACGCCACAATAAACTCAGGCATCACGTCTCGTAACCTCACTTGAATCACGGTGCGTAAAAATGGGTCCCTTTGGTCCCGAAGGAAAATAAACCTGTTCACGAGCTGCCTGATGAATAAATGAGAAAGACCAAGGCCCCCCGTTTTGACTCGGCGGAAAATGTTCGTTCGACTAGTTCGCTCCCAAACCGAATTCCATATAAAAACTGCAAACACTCGGTGCATACGTTGAATGTTATTCCGTGAACAGTGCAGCACCTGTAGCACGAACCACAGCTTAGCCCTAAAAAAAACATTGCATACTGTGGCCCGCGCAAACATAGAAAAACAGTTTCCCCCCCACTTGGTCGCCTTTGAGCGCATGGCTTCTGTTTCTTCCCGCCAGTACTCGTCATTGTTTCGGTAGTGTTCCAAAGGCACGCCAAGATAACGCACGGGCGTGGCAGACCAGACGATGCGTTCAAACACCATTGGCGCTGGCGGCCAGTCGCCGTGCCAAAAACCGGTACACTTGTGCCAGTTCACTGAACTACACGTGTGTTCACAAAACACCCTAGTTAGATCAATAGCTCTTTTCACACTTTCCTTGTCGGTACAAAAAATAGCTACGTCATCCGCGTATGACAGCAGACGAACTTCGCTAGCTTGCAAACAAAATCCTTTCACATAACTATCGCATATAACACTTAAACAAAAAGGCTCCAAGAAGATACAAAAAAGCAGCGGCGAAAGTGGGCAACCTTGCCGCACTGATGAAAAAAGGCGAATACGTTCGCTAACACTCTTGTTAATAACTAAACTGGTGGCGCAGTTACGGTATGCCATGCGCACGCCATCACACAAAACTGATCCTAAATTCACATGCTTCAAAATAGAAAAAATAATATCGTGGGACACCCGATCAAAAGCTTTTTCGAGGTCTATCTGTACCACTGCGACCCTTCGGTCCATCGCATCACAACATTCTAAGATGGAACGCGCAACATGTACATTCGTGACGATACTTCTCCCCTTGATACCACATGTTTGATGCGGACCGACTATAATACTTATAACGCTTTGTAGCCGTTCCGCCAACACCTTCATTAAAATTTTGTAATCAACGTTGGTCAGTGTTATAGGACGATAGGACCCTACTTGGCGGAGTTTCACGTGATCTTCACATTTGGGAATTAAAATCGTATGGGTACATAGAAAGGACGGAGGCAAAGCTTTAAGACGGTACGCTTCACTAAACACACGAAGCAATAAAGGTGCAATTTGGTCTTTGAAGGATTTATAAAATTCTGCTCCCAGACCATCCGGTCCAGGCGATTTTCCGGGCTGCAAATGGTCTATCGCTTTTTCAACTTCGCCCAAAACTATTGGCTGTTCTAGTCTTTCTTTAAGGTCTTCGTCTAGCCTCGTCATTAACGGCAGATAAAGCCTTTCAAACTCCGTCAACTTCGGCGTGCGATAACTGAAAAGCTCCTGATAATATTCGACAAACGCTTGTTCCACGGTTGTTCTATCACTAGACAGAACTCCTTGATACAAGATTTCGCTTATTTCATTTCCTCGCGCATACTTCTTTTCCATTCCCAAAGCTCGTTTCGTTGGTATCTCGCCAAGCGATAACCGTTTGAAGCGCGATCGCACCATGGCTCCCTTATAGCGTTCGGTATCAAGAGCCCCGAGTTGTTTTTTCAACTTGATTATGTCTTCCGAAAAAAGTCCTGGTGAACGACATTCTTGGTGCAGCCGCCTCGGTGGCTCCGAGGCGAGAGCGCCGGCCTACGGATCCCCAGGTGGCGGGTTCGAATCCCGGCCGAGGTGCCCGCAATATGATGGAGGCTTATTGCGGTAAGGCGCCGTGTAACCGAGCTTTCGGTTACACGTCAAAAGATCCCCAGGCGGTCGAAATTAATCCTCAGTCCTCCGCTGGGGCGTGCCACATGCCCGTCGTTGGTTTGGCACGTAAAACCCCCAAATTTGACTTAACATTCTTGGTGCGTTAACTCTTGTAGCAGGCAGCTTAGCTGTCTTATGTATTCCGTTTCCTTGTGTTTTAAAAAACTAGATCTTTCGATGGCACTCATTTTTATTTCTTGTTTAAAACATTCCCATTTTGCGCCGATACCATCCTCTGCGCGAGTCAAAGAGCAGAGATTTTCCCGAACATTCCCTACGAAGATATCATCCTCTAATAACTTAGTATTAAATTTCCACAATTCCCAACTGAATTTCTTGTTAGCGTCCGGGGAAGAGGACAACGTAAAAGAAACGAGGCAGTGATCGCTAAAAGACACGTGATCCACTGCGTAATTTTTGCTTATCGCGATAAGTTCGGGGGAAACGTAGGCACTGTCTAAACGCGCGTGTCTCGCTCCTTGGAAGTGTGTAAACTGTAGGCTCCTTGCACTTGATGAAAAGTGAGCAACGTCTTCCAGTTCACACCGCTGTATCATATCGCACAAGTATTCAAAGCTGACGTCTCTATATCGTGCTCCATTCGATCTATCCTCTGGGGCGCAAACGCAGTTAAAATCCCCCAACAAAATGACTAGGCCATCTGTTTGAATATACTTCGTAATATTTTCGAAAAAAATCCGTCTTTCCTCAACCCGGTTAGAAGCATAAATACACACAACGCGAAAGGTGAAACTACAATAAGAAAAATCACAAAGTACCATCCTACCCGACTCACAACTGATAACTTGTTCAACCTTTCCAATAAACTTTTTAAGGAACACCAAACATCCTCCGGACATCCCAACTGCGTGGCTAACGCACACATTGTACTGAGACCCGAAAATCCGCACCATGCTTTCCGTCCGGTCTTCACTTTCTATCTTTGATTCCTGTACTGCGACAATGTCGAGGTTTTTATCGGCAAACAGGCGGCTCAGCTGACATTGCCTGCGTCTGGTACATAGGACCCGCACATTTATAGTGCCCACACATAGGGGTCTTTCAAGCATAAGCTATAGGTGGAAGCCCGGTGGAGAACATAGAACTTACAAGGTCAGTCAGTGGCGTGCCGAAAAGACTTACTGCTTCTGTTCCTTGTTACGCGTTAAAGACACAGACTGGGTCTTGAAACGTCCTACCTTGCCACACCACTCGCGTTCTAGGCGCCTCAGCTGAGCCTCCACCCGGCCTGAAGGTGGGTCCTCCAGCGCCCGTTTCGCGCGCCCCGTCACTACGTCCATATCGTTGTTCTGATCGTCGTCCTTAGAAACTACGGTGTCTTCTCGTTGCGCGGGTCCCGCCGGGGTGCTAGAAGTCTCCGTGGCTTGATCGGGCACAACGTCTTGGCTCGCCTCGGTGTCCACCTTTTCTCTCGGTGCCCCGTGCGGAAGCTCCGGTGCCACAGGTCCTGGTATTGAGCTGGCCGCTGCCGCTTCGTTGCGTGGTTGCTGGGCCAGTGAAGTCGACGGTGCGGCTGCCATCTCAGCCTCGTCTTCGTCCATCACCAGCTCGCATGCTACCGTGTCGGTGTTGCTGCCGGTGACACGGGCGTACGTCTTGACGCAGTCCCTGGTTTCATGCCCGAAGGCCCGGCACTGCGAGCACCGAGGTGCTCTGCAGTCTCGACGTATATAGCCAGTGCGCCGGCAGCGCAGGCATATCGGTGCGCGTCCGGGGACGACGACCAGGACCGTGCCTCCGCCAATCCGAAGCTGGTGTGGGAGGCTCTCCAACGGTATGCCTTCGTTCAACGTCATCCGCACGGCCAGCGTTGTAGACTCGACGTCCACGAAGCCTTCAACCTTCCAGGTCTCTCGAGTGATATCCTTGACAGACCCGTACGGCTCGAAGGCCCGTCGCCCGAAATCGTTTTCTTGTGCATAGATTATTTTTCGTATTCATAGATTTGACGAAATGGTGGTATCCGAACGAACTTTACGTCCTTTGACCGTACGTCTGTCTGCACGTCAAAGCTTTTTGACGTACAGTCTGAGACAATCGATGTACAATCAGAATCGCCACCAAGACATCTTGATGGCATTTCGCGGTGGCCGACTGCCACCAGAAAACCACCAGAAAGCCGACAAGTGGAGTCTGACTGGAGTTTGACTGTCGGTCAGAGTAACTTGTTGGCCAATCAGACGTGTTTGACGTACAGTCAGGCACAGTCAGCGGTCCACTAGAAAACATTGACTGCCAAACAGGGTTACATTGATGGATTTTTCCTTCGGGTATATACATTGCAAATAAAAACAACAGCAACAAAAAACTCTAGTGCATGTTTGTATTAAAATGTGCATGTCTTGAGGCTCTCAGTTTTTTAGAAGTGGTGAAATTCGCTTTGTTTTATTCAACCACAATTTTAGCAACACTTTGTGTTTAGATCGAGTTCACAATATGCTGGCAAACGGTGTTTAAAAAAATAGAAACCTAGGATTGCCTTCTTTGAAAATACCTGACTCTTGTTTTATTTGAAACACGTTAAATATTTTGTAATATTACTGACGCAGGAATCAACAAATTCATCGAGCCTAATCATTTAAGAAATATGTAAATAAAGACCAAAAGTGAAATAGCCTTTATAGCTAAAATTTCTCGTTAACCTCTTCCATATTAACTTTCACATTCCCGCGCACAGGGTTAATCACGCAACGCTCGGTCACGTAATTCTAGAAGGCTCGCTTTTATTCTTACTCGGGGCGTAACGTTTATCACTTCGGCCTAGTTTCTTGTTCTCAAAAGTGCCTCTTCATTCTCTCCCAAGCGCGCGACACTTGAAGTTTCTTTGCCGAATTTTCGAGATAGTCACGCACACTAGATAAGGAGGTGCGCGGGACGTCGTCGAGTCAGTCCGGTTCTCGCTTGCTGTTACGCCACCAAATCGCCGCCAGATATTTTGTTGCAACGACACTTGTTCATTATTTAGTTTAGAGTAATTTCGCCAATTAAACATTTTAGTTCGCTGTCTAACCTCTCGTGGCCTTCCTTTGTGACAATATTTAAGAACCAGTATCATGTTGATAGCTTTACAACGCAAAAAACGTCTTATCCCCGACTTTTCTCATTCTTTGCGTACCTTTATGTCCACTTGGCTACGCATGTCGTTGAATCGTGTAGCTTCATTTCCTGCCGTGAGAATGTGTGTGGATTTACTGTGTTTTATTCTGTAATAAATATCATCTGAAAAAGAAAAATTAAAATAAACGCTTGAACTAACCTCAGCCTGACTACTAATTGCCTAGATTATACTCCTGGCAATTAGTTGTTCGCAAGCACAAGACACATGGAGATGGGGATGATGATGACTCTTGAAGTGCAAGTGCTGCTCATGACCATTATTGTCATAGGCTCATTCTGACAGAGCTCCCAGACGTTGGGGTTGATCATTCCCAATTTTTAAAAGAAATTGTATAGCTTTCAGCCTCTGAATCCTTAGCCTTTTCCATATTAATTTCGCTATGTTTTGTCACGTGAGCGTGGTTTTATCCTCTAGAATGGGCATAAAACAAGGCATCATTCAGTAATTTAATAAAGACCATGTTTTTTTCAAAACGATTCATCATGTTTTGAGTTATTTGACCGGCATTGAGCTGGCTATATTGGGATGATTGTGCAATTTTTATAGTTCAGGTATTAAAAAAAAGTTGAACAACATGCACAAAAGCTAGCACTTTTTCATATTTTGTTTAATACATTTTTGCGCCTGAGAATTATCACATTTTCTATTGGAAGCCATATAGGCCTATTGCCACGCTCGTCGCCGAGAGGGAGCGTGCGCGGCTGAATGATTACCGTGATTGACTTCCGCGCGGAAGATCTGGGTTTGATTTAAGGTAGCCGAATGTTCTTTTATATATTCTTTGTTGTTCTCGCAAGTTCGAAACCTTTCTCGACTCATCGAGTTACGAATGTTCTACACGCTGAACGTTCTAGGCTGAATGTTCCAGAAGCGCACGCTGGTACAAAACGTGCTCCGCGTAGCGGGCAGGAGTCAGTCTCGTCCCAGCGTTCGACCCTGCTGTTACGCCGACTTCGACGCCCGCGACGCGCTGTCGTTATCTTCTGTTCACGTTCTGTTTTGGTGAACAGAAGATAACCACTAAACTGTTCAGTTTCCTCAGTTATTCTTCGTTTCTTCACCTTGTCATTCGTGACATTTTGGTGAAGGTGCGGGGTAACGCATGTCCCTGCAGCGTACCCCTCGGAGGGCCCGCAGTGTAAGTCCCACACCAACCCCACGAAGGCTCAACGAAGACACTACCGAGACCCGATTAAGTCTCAGCACCCAAGGCCTACACCCGCAACACGGACTTCTGCAAACCAAGACCAAGCAGCCAACGAGGCCGAAGATGGACCACCAGTCGTCTCAGACCCCAACCGCCGCCGCCGTCGTTTACCTGCCCGTCGCATTAAGGATGGCTGCTTTGTTCTACGGTGGACAATACAAAGACGCCGAAGACTGGATCGACCAGTACGAACACGTTGCCCGCCACAAAGAGTAAACCGACGAGCAGCGCCTGCACAACCTCTATTTTTCACCTGAAGGAAATGCAATGCGCTGGTTAGAAACCACGAAGCTTCCCTGACTTCGTGGAACCTTTGCAAGACCGAGCGTGCTCGGTCTTGCAAACGCGTACGCTCGCTACTCAGCACCGAAGCGAGAAGGCGAAAATCTGCTGCAATCAAGGACCCGGGGCCCCAATGAGAGCGTCAGGAGTTTTGTGGAAGACGTCCTGCGCCTGGGCCACCGAGGAAAAGAAGCTGCGTATACTGATCCGTGGCGTAAAATGCGACATATTCGATGGACTCGTACTCAACCGACCGACGACCGTTCAAGAATTCGACATCGAGGCGACGAACATGGCGCGTGCCATCCTTGCAAGGACAACCCACTACCAACGGCAACCCGGCGTAGCTGCCCCCTCGCGTTCAGCACTCGACCACGGCTCCAGTCTGACTGACATTCGCGAGATCATTCGCGACGTCTTCCGAGAAGAGCACAGAAAGCTCCAGCCTGCAGCCAGCCAGCCGGCTTCGCTGTCAATAGCCGAAGCTGTCCACGAAGAAGTTCAGCTGGCCACCCAATCGGCCTGTCACCGTAGCAGCACCGGATGAGCCCGCTCTGAGCTACGCTGCAATGGTCCGACGAGCACTACCAGCCCCGCGTCCGCACATGGCGCCTCCCCGACGTGAACCTCCAGCGCCGCAGTATTCCCCACGCCAGAAAGATCGGGCGCACTTCCGCCCAGAACAAGCTGAGCCAAAAAAACCGACGTATAGAGGACAGCAGGTCGTCGACCCATCTGCTCTCACTGCCGTGAAGCCGATCACTTTTACCGTCGCTTCCCCTACCGACAACTGGTGCTGCGGGGGTTCCACCCGAACGACCCGTGCCCAAAGTGCGGCGAACGCCCTCGCGACATCGAGCAGTACATCCGACGTTCGCCACCTTAAGCACCGCCTCTCCGCCGTGAATCCTGCTCACCGTCACCTAGACGTTCAGCGTCTCCAGTGCCATGACCCCGCCCGAGAGAGTACGTCTTCCTGCGTCGCCGGGAAAACTAAGTGCGGCAAAGCCTCGAGGTGGCGTTGCCGAAGATGACCGATGTAAAGATTGTGACCGGTAGGTAGCGCCCCCACCAGTCCGCCCGTCTGTGGCCGCCAGGCTCGGCGGGCCACATTGGTCACCGCACCAATAAACGCGGTGGAGCGCACCCCGCCCCGGTCAGTCATCGTCCACCCTAACAACCAGGCTGCTTGTCGTCTCTTCTCGGCGGGTGCTTCGGCCCCCCCTTCGTCCACGTTTGAGAAGGATCGTGACAAAGAGCCTCCAAGAACGCCGGAGCGCTCCCTTTCTTCCGACGCCACGTATCGCAACGACGCTCCTGCAACGGTGCCCAACGACCTAAATGTTGTTATCGACAGCCAGGACGCATCAGCACTCGTGGACACCGGAGCAGACTACTCAGTCTTGAGTGGGAGGCTCTCTCGCCACCTTCGAAAAGTGACGACGCCATGGGATGGGCCTCAGATACAAACCGCTGGAGGACACCTCATCACGCCTGTCGGAAGGTGCACTGCTTGCGTCGAAATTCACGGCGAGATGTGTCCCGTGAAATTCGCTGTTCTACAAGATTGTTCGAGGGTCATTATTCTCGGCATGGACTTCTTGTGCGAATACAATGCCGACATCGACCTGGGAGCGAGCAGATTGACGCTGCAAGAACCTGCCCTACCGCCGGAGCAACCCAGGGTGACGTTACCCGCGGCCCCAGATCTCGCCAATCACGCACACCTGCCGCCTTGATCGTCTGTTTTTGTACCCGTCGGGACTGATGAACCTTCCTGTGTCACTAGTCTGCTTGCGGGCAGCGTCCAGTTGCTTCTAGGAAGAAAAATCGGCGTCGCAAGAGGGGTAACAAGTCTTCAAAGCGTGCGTACTATGGTCCTTGGTAGAAACTTTCGAAAAGAGCCGCAACACCTAACGAAAGGTACCGCCGTGAGCCGCATGGACGAACTCCAGAACTCCGCCGATATCCACGCGATTCTTGAAGAGTCCCCTCCACCTGAGCACGACACTACGTCGCCAACGCAGCTCGACATTGACCCCAGGCTGCCGGGCCAAAAAGACGGCACTTGACTAACCTCCTCGCCGAATACAGCGACTGCAACGCGACATCATCGAAGGTGCGCCAACCCGCCGTTGCGAAGCTTTGCATCGCTACCGAGGACGACGCGCTCCCTGTGCATCGATCGCCGTACAGAGTTTCCGTAAAAAGGGGAGGTCATCCAGAAGTAAGTTCAAAAGATGGTGAACGACGACACAATCCAAAATTCCAGCACTCCATGGGCCTCTCCAGTCATCCTGGTTAAGAAGAAAGACGGAACGCTTAGGTTCTGTGTGGAATACCAAGAGCTGAAAGCGGTGACACTCCGCCGCATTGACGACACGTTAGACCGGCTGCGGCACTCTCGATACTTTTCATCAACGGACCTGAAGAGCGGCTACTGGCCGATCGAAGTCGACGAACGGGACCGAGAGCAGACAGCTTTCGTCACGCCGGGTGGCCTCTACGAGTTCAGAGTGATTCACTTCGGACTATGCACAGCGCCAGAAAATTTCCAGCATGTCCTGGAAACCGTACTGGCACGACTGAAGTAGCAGAGCTGTCTCGCCTACCTCGACGACGTCGTAGTGTTTTACGGCGACATTGGGGAGCACTTGCGGCGACTCCGAGCTGTTCTCAAAGCCATACAAACCACCGGACTCACCCTGAAGCCGTTAACGTGTCGGTTCGCCTAGGACCAATTGATGTTCCAAGGCCACGTGGTTAGTGAAGAAGGCGTTTGCCCAAACCCAGAGAAGACTCGCGCCGTCGCGGCATTTTCAGCGCCGACAGAGAAGACGGCCCCGCGAAGATTTTTGTTGCATATCTGCCTACTATCGACGCTTCCTTTGGGATTCCGCAAGAATTCGCGCACCGCTCACAAACCTCACAAAGGATGCCGAGAAGTTCGGATCGGCCCAAGAGCAGTAGCAGGCATTCAACGAGTTGAAGTGACGACTCCAGACTCCTCCGGTTCTTGGAGACTTCGATCAGAAAGCGGAAACCGAGATTACCATGAACGCAAGCAACAAAAGATTTGGAGCGGTACGGGTTCAAGCGCAAGAAGGCACCAAGTGAGTCATCGCCTACGCAAGTTGGACACTGTCCAAGGCGGAGAGAAATTACTCCACGACTGAAAAAGAATGTATTGCGGTCGTCTGGGCAATCACGAAGTTTGGCCCGTACTTGTGCGGGAGACCGTTCGGCGTAGTCCCGGACCATCACTCGCCCTGCTGGCCTGCCAACATCGAGGACCCTTCAGGGTACCTCGCTTGACGGAGTCTGTGACTACAGGAGTTCAACATGAACGTTGTCTACAAGTCAGACCATAAGAGCAGTGACGCGGACTACTTGTCCAGAGCCCCTGTCGAGATAGCTCCCGGCAGCAGCGACGGCGATGACGACGAGTTCTCCTTAGGCTCACTGAACACCGACGACATGGCACGACGTCAACGAGACGATCCTAAGCTGCGCGCTCTAATAGAGCACCTGGAAGGGCGCGGGAGGACCATGCCACGTGTTTTCTCAGGGGCCCTGCTGACCTTCGCCATTCGACAAGGCGTACTCTATAAAGATAACTTCGGAGACAACAACTTGCCACGGCTGCTGGTAATTCCGAGCGACCTTGGAGAGGAGATCTTTCAAGCCTGGCACGACGACCCTACATCCGGACACCTTGGTTGTAGTCGGACACTGGACCGTATACATGAAAAGTATTACTGGCCCAAGCTCCCCAAAACCGTCCACCTATACACTCGATCATGCCACGAGAGCCAGCGACGCAAAAAACCTCCGATGAGGCCGGCCGGTCTCCTGCAGCCAATTCCTCCGCCAACTGCACCCTTCCACCAGATTGGAATGAATTTGCTTGGCCATTTTCCGTCTTTGACGTCGGGAAACTGCTGGATAATCGTCGCCACGGGTTATCTCATGCGATGCGCCGAAACAAAATCCTTTCCTTCGGGGACTGCTGTGGAAGTCGCCAAGTTTTTCATTGAGCCCATCATTCATCGGAATGGCGTTGCCAAAGTTCTCGTTACTGACCGTGAATCATCGTTCAGGGCTCAACTGACGCAAGAAATCCTTCGTCTCAGCAGTACCAGTCACCGTCGAACCACTGCGTACCATCTGCAGACAAATGAACTAACGGACAGGCTAACAAAACTATCGTAAACATGATCTCCATGTATATCGATGTAGAGCACGAGTCGTTAAACGAGGTGTTACCCTACGTGACGTTTGCTTCCAACACGGCTTTGCAAGAGACCACAGGAGTAACACCGTTTCAGCTGGTGCATAGCCTAAAAGTGACGACGATGCTCGACGCGATAATGCCTCACGAAGCAGCCGACGATGGGAGCCAAGACGCCCAGATTGTTGCTCAACCATCTGAAGCAGTTCGCCAGCTCGGTCGACTCGGATTCAAGATTAACAACGCACCGACGCTACCCGGTACAACCTTCGGCAGATCGACGCTCGCTTTAAGCCCGGGGCCGAATGTGGGTCTGGACCCCGATACGACGACACAGTCTAAGCGAGAAACTCTTGAAGCGCTACTTCGGACCCTATGAAGTGATTTGTCGACTCCGTACTCTGACCTACGAGGTGATGCCCGACGGAACACGGACTTCATCGCGCCGGCCTCCACGACCGGAACTCATCCACGACGTGCGACTCAAGCTGTACTACGATCGATAGGACTGTGAACTTCGTTTTGTACAACACTCAATCGGACTGTGTTTTACAAGCCTCCGTATTTTACCGTTATTTAGATTCTTTTCATTCATTTCGCGTCAGATTCGATCGGGGCGATGTTCTTATTGAAAGGAGGAGTAATGCCACATGCGTCGCCGAGCGAGAGCGTGCCTGGCCGGATAGTTACCGCACTTGACTGTCGCCCGGTAGATCTGGGAATTCCAGGAAGCGGAATGTTCTTTTATTTATTCTTTGAAGTTCTCGCAAGCTCGATAACTTTCTCGCCTCATCGAGTAATGAATGTCCTACCGGCCGAACGTTCTAGGCCATATGTTCCAGAAGCCCTGGCCGGTACAAAAGGTGGTCCGCGTGGAGGACCGGAATCAGTCTCGCCCCAGCGTTCGACCCTGCTGTTACGCCGACTTTGATGGTGTTCATTGTCACGCAATATGTTCTCCTAGTTAACTGTACGAATAAACAACACGCGTTCGCAGGTGATCTTTCTCTCGCTACTGCTGCTGAGTGATTAATTATGAAGTTCGGAGTGAAGTCCCAGCCAATCACGCTTACGCAAACTTTCGGTCATGCTCCCTCAATGACATCGACGCCTGCCACTTCCTTTATTTGATATTAACTTTGCGCATATAGTTGTTTTTCAATATTGTGTAGTTGCCCGCAGCTATTCACCTTCTCTTCAACCCTAGATCGTGATTGTATGTATAATGAAAACATAAAAACTAGCTCGTCTGCTTGATGTATCTTCTTAATTTAATGTGGGTGGGGTTGCTCCATCTCCATATTTGGTTTTTTCGAGACTTTTTTTTTATTTTGAAACGCTTTCTGAAAAAACTAACTCCAGGCAAGAGCTCTCTAATTTTAAATTACAAATATCGGTGGAGATATATATTTATTTTAGGCACGTAAAGATATTTCGATGGCTTAGAAGCCGTACATTTGATTAATAGTGCACATAAAACAAATCGTGATTAACACCTTCAGGAACAAAACAGAAAAAGAAATGCTCGGAGGAATAAAATATATCGAAAAAATATGGCCGTTATCTACCGCAACCCGCGCTACAACCTCGTGCACGTTCACATATTTTAGGGAATGGACCATATTCGAAATCGCTTGCTGGTCTGAGAAGACTGAGGGCGCCGCCATTTTAATGTTGGCAAGCGTCGTCTGTACCGACGCACGGTGGAGTCATCAGAGACAACCGTACGGCGAGTATGCGATGACAAGGCCGCGTTGACAGGCCTCCGAGAGTTTTGTCACACAGTTTCGGTGGGTTGTATGAACTGTTCGATGACATTTTATGGTAGGATGACGGAAAACAGCTGCCGCGCCATCGCACACTTCCCGATGTGTTGTCTACGATGACTCCACCGTGCTTCGGTACCGACGACGCTCGCCAAGATTAAAATGGCGATGCTCTCAGTTGTCAGACCACCAAGCAATACCGCATAAGGTATATTGTTTAAGAGAAAGCTCAATGAACTGTTCGTTATAATATTGTTCTTAAAATATTAATATTTCTTACCATTTGACAACATCGGATAGGACATCACAGCAACTCCTCCAGCAAATATAATGCTTAACATGGCGATCACGTTTTCCAGGGAATTATCCAGATGCACTAGTACCTTATCGCCTTTAGAAACACCGTAACCTTGAAACCCAGCGGCATAGCACTGTAACATCCTGAGCAGCTGGGTAAAGGTAATCGTTTCATCGTTCCATACCTGAAAGAGTTCAAGATGTTACAGTATATCTCATTTGGAAAATAAATTAGGGTAAGGGGTGTGAAGAACCTCTAAGGGTTACACTGTGATGAAGGGACAGAGTTGCGTGGTAATTTATTGACAGCTTTACGTACTTCATCAATCTACATCACTCATCACTCATAACGGATATAAAGAATATTTCAGTAATCCAGTGTTTTGCTTGAACTTAATGAAGCAAAACCTTTTTATGAAAGTAGTTTCCTATTAAAAATGATGAAAGTCTACACGTCATTACAGGGATGCTGAACAGGAATTTTGATCTCAAGAAATGAGGCCGCAGAGGCGCTGAACGAGAGGCTACGAACTCCAGCACATCACTCAGACATTGATCTCTCAAAGGGATGGCAGTATTTTCGGAAAAGAAGGGCACAATCAAGTGAGGACTACGACGTCACGATCCTTATGAAACAGTTGAGAATGAGGGGAAGCTGCCCTGCTTCTCTTCTACTTGGTTCGGTTCACCTGCACGGGGGGGGGGGGGGGGGGGGGGGGGGAGAAGCGAAGAGAAGAGGGAATGAAAATCGTGACGTCACATGTCTCGTCGGCCTTCTCGGCCGTGTTCAATCCCACACTTTTTCAAAAATAAGGCCATCCGTTAGAGATATCGGCGTATAAATAATGTATTTTTTTGTGTGTTTCTCTTCTTTCTTTTTTTTTTTTTTTTTTTGGGGGGGGGGGGGGGTTGGGGTTGCAGCCTCCCGCCTATCACTCGAGCGCTCCTTTGTGAGCGCCAAATATTTTTCATTAAACCTAGCTATGCGACTGTGCTGTTTTCTTCTCGCACCGGCGCATGTTTTCTGAAACCATTAAATGATAATGCAAATATCTTCAAGAATTTCAACAATAAATATTACAAAGTTGAAAAAGAGGGAGATGCATAGTTATCACCTACAACCCACAATAAATCATTAAAAAAATGTGGTTGGATTAAGCCTGTGCTAACATCCTGCATCTACTAGCATGTAGCAAATTAATGCTTTAGGAAACGGCGAATATATGTGCAGTCTTCCAGTTTCGGTCCCCGTTGCTCAATTAACTCAGGAATTAACAATGCTGAACATGTTTCTAAAAGCAACAGTCAGTTAATTTGGCAGCTCTTGCTTTTGTGACGACTTTTATTACAACACTCTGAGCGAATACTTTTCTGGATGTTGCAAATTTTTTTAAGGTGAGGATCGTGAGCTTGTTGCTTAATTTTTGACAGTTGCTCCGGCTGATCGACAGTTCACGCAGCCGAGATCAATCCTTCACCAAATAGCTAGCGCTTGCAGAGAAGTAGCAGAAGAGTTCCACATTACAAAAAAGCTGGGAAACAATAAATAAAGCAATACAAGGGGAAAATGAACACAGATAAGATTGAACTATGGGAACACGTTGAAAGAGCAGAGCTACCTTTCGAGTGAAAATGAGTCGACAAGATGAGAACACTATAGCGCATGCCATTTCTGGCACTCGGGACATGGGAACCGGTACTTGTAGACAGTTGTCCGCGGAAGCGTCCAGGGCCGCGGCTTCCTGCGACACCCTGGGGCGCGACTCCCTGAAACGCGACTACCTGGGACGCGGCAGGGTCGCGTGTTTGAGACTCCTGCTGTAGCCTAACCCTTCCTGCTGATTGTCAGGGCGCGGCTACAGATTTTGTTAGTTGCAGCCTGCATCCTCGAAACATCAAATACAATTAGTCTCTCGTGGAAATGGAACGTGCTGGTTAAGTTACGGTGTTACTCTCTCAGTTCTTGATCTCCCTCACCCCTTTCGCATTGGCAACTTCACAGCCTTGATAAAGCCCCTAGAAGAACTCCATACCGCAAAGAACACCGTCGCCGTTTTCTCGCTTGATGTAGTCGGCATGTACTACAGCCTAGATATCCCCACCATGCTCGGTTTCAACAACGAGGCTATACACCTCCACGGCCCGGTCAGGTTCCAGAACTTAGCGGGGATCTCTATGTCAGGGTTTCCTGACCTGATCGACCTTTACCAACGCTCAACCCTAGTTCAGCACGACGGAAAGGTCTTCGCGCAGAAGACCGCGTTTTACATCGGCTCGTGCCTGGCCCCCATCTTGAGTGAGATCTACCTGTTCTTCGTAGATAGGCGAGTTTTCGAAGCCCGCCTATCTATTGGGAGACAGATGTACCCTTACGAATGTACCGAAGGGTACATCCGTCTCCCAATATGTAGATGACTACCTTGTCGTTCACCAAGCCACCTGAGATCCTAAAACTATAGAGCAGATATTCTCAGACAATTCGTTCGGTCTAAAATTTACCAGCGAGGCTCCAACACAGAACGGACTACTCTTCTTGAATCTTCGCCTGCATCCCTCGGAGTCCGGTGTTTGCTGGTCTTTCCAGCAAAGATCACGCCAACGAGTGCTTCCCTTCCACAGTAACCATTCAAAAAACGTCAAAAGCGGAATCGTCCAAAACCTCCTCACCTCATCCCGGTCCAAGCCGTTCCCTCACCTAATCTGCATGGACGAGCTGCTCCCTACAACTCACCCGCCTCATCAAAGCGGGCTACCCAAAATACTTACTCGAGACCCGGTTAAAACGCATTATGACAGCACAGACCACCAGCACAGAACCCAAGGACAGACAACGCGCATCCCGCCTCGCGTACATTCCATACGTGCAAAACGTTCTCCACGGAATCACATGATGAGAAACAGCGCAAAAGGGAAAGGAGAGAACGAAAAAGGACACAGGACATACGCTGACTAACAACCAAAGGTTTACTATAACTTCCATGCGCGCATAGTGGCCCGCGCAAGCACAAGCTCTTCTTTCTCTTTCAAAAGAGACAACAGGGAATTACGATTTCTCAATTGTGACCGCCCTCAGTACACTGTACACGCGATCTGTAAAGGCTTGATTTGTGTCCTTAACGCGGCGTGCACGTGGTGCGCACGTGGAGTGTACGCAGCGCATGATCTTATTGCTTCTCGTGTCGCTGTAATAATTTTTTTTAAATATTTATTCTGGTCACGCGTTTTGCAACGTCCTTCTAGTGCCGCTGTTTCTTCCTTTATTAGCATTTATCTCTTTTGAAAGAGAAAGAAGAGCTTCTGCTTGCGTGGGCCACTGTGCGCACGTGGAAGTTATAGTAAACCTTCGGCTGTTAGCGTATGTCCTGTGTCCTTCTACTTTGTGTACTGTCCCTTTTGCGCTTTTTCTCATTATGTGGTTCAACCAACCAGCCCAGCAAGGTATCCTGTCCGTCAGAATCGAACCGTTAGCACTCCGACATGACACGCAGGTGTTCTTTTCATGTCGCCCAAGGCTCTCCTCCCTCTGTAGGAAGGTTAACAAACAGACTGCCCCAAAGCCGTGAACCAAAATACACGCTTCCAAGTTCGTTCCTTGTAGACAGGCCAGCGTCTACTCGATCCCGCTTAAGTGCGGCTCACGATGCATCGGTCAGACAGGCCGTTGTCTAAACGACCACCTAAAGGCCTGTCCAAACAGGATACTACAAAACTCACGACTCCGGCAAATCGTGCCGCGCTCTGCCGCGATCCGCTTCCGGCCGTCGGAGGGAAATTTCCCTCCGTCAATTCTTCCCGGGGGGAAACTTCCCTCCGTCAAATCTCCCCCTCGCTTCCTGCACGGCGGCCTTGCTCTGCTCATCACGTGGGTCCGGAGAGCCACTCACGCGCTCTGTTGGCTGTCGGTCAATCGCTCGAGGCCTGCGCTCACAATACGGAACCGCGTCGGACACCATCACGACGAAAGTGAATCTCGACAAATGGCGAATTCGCGTGGTTCTTTCTGCGCGCTCTCGAGCGCTCTTTCCAGAGCACGCGAAATCGGGTGGTTGAAAGAGAGTGCTGTGGCCTGATCGGGTGGTTGATTCCGAGGGCCCGTCTCCCTCTCAGAGCGCTCTCTGGCAGTCCGTCTGTAGCCGTCGGAGTGCGGAGCTGCGCAGGCGTCACGTGGTAGCTGGAAGGTGATCACGTGGTTTTGTTGACGATGGCCGACAGTGGTCTGTGGTGGTGTGCGGAGTCCGGCATGACGGTGATTGATGTGTGGTTCTACAAAGTGCTTGTGCATTCGACGGTGCGAGGATTACAACGGACGGGACGACATTCGTTTGCGACCGTAACCGGAAAAGCCGACGTGTGAAGTGTTTCCAGTGCTTTCACAAAATCGTTCATCTCACGGCGGTGAATCCGCTAAGCCTAACCGACGACGAAACAGCTCGCAGAGCTCGCCGCTGTTTTACCGGATTTCGTAGTCGCTTCAAGAAATTTTTGAGGCTTGGTAAAAGTGCATTCAAAGGTTTGTGTTGTAAAATAAAGAGAGAGCCAAATATAATGCACTGTGATTTGTGTCACATTGCGATGCTTGCACGATATTTCGCCGTGAGAAAAATGCGGTTTATCAACCATTTTATTTTCGCCTCCTCAATCGTACGCATGACCGCTATCGCAGCGCGTTCACTGGCGAAAACGCGATGAGTTGACAACTGTTTCCAAGCGTTGACTTTCGTTCCGTCCTGCAAAAATAGATTCGCATACTGTTGTTTTCTTTTTTTTTTACATGCCGATGCGTAAAACAATTTACGTAACAACAGTTATTTCATCACGTTGCGAGCGTAAATTTTGTTCAATCGTTCAACGTACGCTGTAAGATCGTGTTGTTTTTAATGCATTACCAATGTCCAGACAGTTTACTTCCGTGACTGGTCTGAGAATCTCGGAGCGCTCTGAAGCCAGCAGTTCTGATCGGCTGAAAAGGATCCCGAGTAGATCTGGCGGCGAGGAGGGGGCGCTCTGCTGAATCGAGGTCAGAGGAGAGAGGCGACCACCCGAATTCACCAAAAGAAAGCAGATCCGAGGCGGGCGAAAGGCACCCTTCGACGCAGGAATGTCCCAAATCCACCCGAAGCCGGACCCCCTTGGCCTTCGAGCCGAGGCGACAACGGAACGCGAGGTCGTTGGCGAGGTGAGCCAG